CAGATGGTCCACAGGGAGGTACCAGTTGACCCCCCACTAGGATGGTTATCATAAAGCAGACAGGCAATAACAAGTGTTGGCAATGATGTGGGGAACTTGGAACTCTTATACATTGCTGGTAATGTAAATGGCTGGAGTGTAAGATGATGCACCTCTTTGGAAAACATTTTGGCAGTTCCTCAAAAAGTTAAACATAGTGTTACTATGTCATCCAGGAATTCTACTCCTAGGTATATACTCAAAGTAATTGAAGACATATGTTCACACAAAACTGTTGATAGCAACATTGTTTCTAATAGCCAAAAAGTTAGAAACAACCAAAATGTCCATCAATTGAAGAATCGATAAACAAAAATGTGGTATATTGATACAATGGAACATTATTTAGCAATAAAAATAAATGAAGTATTGATAAATTCTACAACATGGAAAAACTCTGAAAACATTATGCTAAGTCAGTGGTCGGCAAACTGCGGCTCGTGAGCCACATGCGGCGGCTCTTTGGCCCCTTGAGTTTGGCTCTTCCACAAAATACCGACTTCTGCGCATGGGCCATGAAGTTTCAATCGCACTGTACATGCGTGCCCGCACGTGGTATTTTGTGGAAGAGCCACACTCAAGGGGCCAAAGAGCCATGTGTGGCTCGCGAGCCGCAGTTTGCCGACCACTGTGCTAAGTGAAATAACAGGTACCAAAGGACATATGTATTATTCCATTTATATGAGCTGTCCATGATAGGGAAGTTCATAGAGACAGAAATTAAATTAGTAGTTACCAGGGATTGAGAGAAGGAGATGAGGAGTGATGCTAATGGGTACAGGGCTTCTTTTTGGGGTGATGAAAATATTCTGGAATTAGTAGTGGAATTAGATTGCACAGCTCTGTGAATATACTAAAAACTACTGAATTGTACACTTTAAAAGTGAGTTGTGTAGTGTGTGAATTATATCTCAGTTTCATAAAGCGATGAAAGAAATGTCCAAGAAAAGGGTAGTAAATTTGACTACATGGGAAAAAAATGCATTGGGATTATTTATGGGAAAAACTCACTTCTATTCTCTTCAACTCACACTCACAACACTTCTGACACCACACTGAGCAATTCTGTGATAACAGCTAAGTGTTCTACAATTCATTTCAGTTCTAACACAGTCTACCTGTGAGTCTTACACGTCTCACAGGTTAAGGACTCAGTCCCACGAGACTGCCCATTCCCCACTTCAGGATGTCAATTGCAAGTCCAGGTTGTCACTGATGCTGCTGACCAGCTGGCTATAAATCAGAGGTTCCCATGACCCCCTATCTCAGGCTCAATTATTTGCTAATGCAGCTCAAAGAACTCAAGAAAACAGCTTATTTACTAGATTACTGGTTCATTATGAAAGGATCTAACTCAGGAACAGCCATAGGAAAGAGATTCATAGGTGAAGTCCAGAAGGGTCCTGGGTGCAGGAACTTCTCTGCCCCTGTGGAGGTTAGGTGTGCCACCCTCCGAGCACGTGGATATGTTCACCAGCCCAGGAGTTCTCCAAACCCTGTATTTTGGGAAATTTTATGGAAGCTTCATCAGGTGGGCATAATCAATTATGAACTCTACCTCCTGTCCCCTCCTCTTCCTGCAGGACGGGCGGGGAGTTGCAGGCTCCAGCCTCCTAATCATGGCTTGGTTGGTCTTTCCAGTGACCAGCTCTTGTCCTGAAGCTATCCAGGGGCCCCCCAAGAGTCTCCTCCTTAGAACCAAAGAGATTGCTCTCATCCAGGAAATTCCCAGGGATGTAGGAGGTCTGTCAAGAACCATGGTCAGCCTGCGGACTGAAGGGTCCCAGGTTCGATTCCGGTCAGAGGCGTGTGCCTTAGTTGCGGGCACATCCCCAGTGGGAGGTGTGCAGGAGGCAGCTGATCGATGTTTCTCTCTCATCGGTGTTTCTGACTCTCTGTCCCTCTCCCTTCCTCTCTGTAAAAAATCAATAAAATATATTTTTTTAAAAAGAACCATGGTCAATGTTCAAACGTTAGAACAAAAGATGCTCCTAGTGCTCTTATCACTTAGGAAATAATAAGGGTTTTAGGAGCTCTGTGTGAGGAACTGGGGGCAGAGACCTTATATATTTAAAAAAAGATTTATTTCACAATGTCATTAACATACCATAAAAGGTAATCAGAGTCCATATGGGGTTCCCCCAAAGGAAGAAGAACTCCCACTTATTTGGTAGGATGGGGCAATATGAGGGAAGACTTCCCACAAAAGGACTTTAGGGATGAGGATATCCCAAGGCCAGTCACTGGGGACAGAGCCCTTTTCAGAAACAGCAGGTAATTGGGCGTATGGGGTTGGCAGGCAAAGAAAGAGAAGAAGGCAGTGATGAATAAGAGCCTTGGGGGATTCAAATCAGTGGAGAAAGGATGGATTTGTTAATAGTGGTGTTGGTTTTTAACTGAAGGCCACATGAAAAAAGATAAAATTGAAATCATCTTTCATACTGCATAATACCGTTTGTCTCTCCAACAAGGTCATGAGCTCCTCAAGGACAGTGTTAGAAAACCTTCAATCTGGTTCCATTGAACTTTTCCCTACAAAAAAATGAAACCATAATATAGGCCTCAGTGGAGCGGTCAAAACCTTCCTCCGAGGAAAAGATTAAGACATTCGACTGTTGGCATTTACTCCAGCTTCTAGTTCTCACTGCCAGTTTACAGGAAATACAGGAGATAAAGGAAATACAGGTGTCTGTTCAGTGACAGACACCACAGGGTACAATCTACAAGATCTAGAATGTGGTTACTTCAGATTTGTTCTGCTGCTTTGTGAGCGGCTTTCTTTAACAAATAAATGCCCCCCTCCCTACCCGCCCCCCCAGAAGAGGTCAGGGCACCTTTAGATTAAAAGAGACTTGAAGGGCAGACATATTAACCAAATGCAATATGTGGGTCTTATTTGTACCCAGTTTAAAAAAAAAACTTTAAAAAGCAATTTTTTAAACAAATGAAGAAATTCAAACCCTGTGAGGATATTGGATAATTTCAAAGAAGTATTAATTTTATTAAGTGCAATAATGGGAATATGTTTATGTTAAAAAGAGGGAGCTTTATCTCTTAAAGATAACGATTGAATTATTTACAGATGAAATGGTCCAATCTTTGGTATTCACTTTAAAATAATCCAGTAGGGGTGTGAGGGGCAAATAGGAGGTATAAATGAAACAAAACGGTGTGTTTGTTAATAATTATTAAAGTTAGATGACAGGTAAATGAAGACTTATTATACTATTCTTGTTACTTTAGGGTACATTTGAAAATTCCCAGAACCAATGAAGGCTTTTTCGGCAGGAGAATGCCAAGATGAAATTGGCATCTGAGGAAGTATAGCCCTGGGAATAAGAAGGCGAGAGAGGGTGCTGTCGGGAGGCTCATAGTTCAAGGACTGAACTGCTCCTTTGGGAGTGGAGGGGAGGGTCTGGACAGGACAGTATGAAAGGAAACCCGCAGAATTGGAGAAGCTAAAGAAATGGGAATCGAGGCTGACGCTCAGGTTTCAGGCTGCATGATGGGGCCGTTCACCCAGCAAAGGAATTCAGAAGAGATTAAAGTTAGGGGTGAGGGAGTGATAGATCAGTTCCTGGCAGGTTGCATTTGAAGTGCCGGTGGACATCCAGAGTTTAGGAAAGAGGCCTGCACTGGAGATGGGTTTTGGCAATTACCAGCTGCAGCACAATATCCATGGAAACATGAAAAGTGTAGGCACAAGAAAATGCTCCAGTCATGTGCAAACATTATCCAATTAATAAATTACTCTAGGGCACTTTTAACATGAAAAAATCGAAGTGGCTTAACCCAGGAGACGAATATAAGAGAACCAAATAGTATATGATATCCATGCTATTCTGTTTCTCTCGATTTCCACATTGAACTTGTGATAGAATGTCAAGGTTTAACTGCAGGATTTCCTTATTTTGCTTTATTTTCTCCAATAAAAGAGTTTTCAAGAAAACACTGTGGTTTTGATACATGGTGGGGGGGGGGGGAACCTCATGTGAAAGATCAAACTTTATCTTTTCTTTTTTACTTTGCCTTTCTTCTATTTTGCTCCATGTTGTCTACAGTATTGTAAAAACTGAAGGAAAATGCCCAAACCATCTAGGTCTAGGGCCATCCTTCAATTTCCTGTCTTTAAAACAGCCATGACAGTGTTAAATCCTTGGGTTGACATGTGTATCCGGAAGGAGCCACAGAGCCCCTGATACAAAAAAGCAGTTTGTGTCTGGGATTGATTTATGCCTTTGGAGCAGCACAAAGAGAAGAAAACCCAGCCCCTATGGTATCTGTTGCTGGGGAAGCTCAGGCCATCTGCCAGGCTTTAATAAAACAGGACAACAACATTTGGTTTGAAGCATAGAATGATTTTCCAAAGTGAAAATAAAGCTTGTCCGCAGTTGAGGCTCTTGTAAGTCTTTAAAAAAAAAAAAAAAT